AATTATTAGTGTCGTGTTGATGATTTTAAGATTATCTGTGATTACGTGGACGGTGTTTAGGAACATTATGTGTGTACAGATCATTTCCGTTCTTTCCCAATTTGGATGATTCCTAAATGTGCAAAAAGAATGTTTACCCAAATTTCTTCAAACGGACTTTGACACTGAGGAGGAGCCTGACCGTCAGATATTTAAAGGAGCGTTTGTCCCCTCCACAACTGGAGAACTACAACGGTGAGTTGCTGGTTTATTCTCCAGCATTTTCCTTAAAGCCTGTCTGGACATTCAGAAGTTCATATCAGTTAATGCAATGAAATGGTATAAGTAAAGAATTCCTTCGTCTCTTTAAGGAAACAGATTTCTGCTGAGAAGAGTTTGAGAAGATGGAGGTAAGCTCATCTGTTTCCTACATTTTGTCACATTCCTACAGATTTTTATCACTTTATCAGTGTGATGTTCATATTTTTCTCTCTTATGCAGATGATGGTGTTTTTGGCAGCTCTTCTGCCTGTTTTATTTGGCTGTGATTGTATTCTTGATGTAGACAAACCGGTTGACTGCTCTGATGTATATAAAGCAGGACAAACAGTCAGTGGGATTTACTCCATCTATCCAGCAGGAGACATTCCTGTCTGGGTTTACTGTCAGATGATCTCAGATGGGAAAGAGGAAGATAAAGGAGCATGGACGGTACAACTTTAGATCATTAAACACACATCAGCACATTCATTCTGAATCATATATTCTCTATAAACCCATCACAGGTGATTCAGAGGAGAATGGACGGCAGTGTGAATTTCTATCGGCCGTGGGATCAGTACAAGAGAGGATTTGGGAATGTGGAGGGAGAATACTGGCTGGGTAAGATCTCACAGCGTGTGTGTGTTTGTGTGGATGTTCATGTCCAGTGTTTGGTTGAAGGTGTTCTTCATGTGTGTGTATGATCAGGGCTGGAGAACATGTACCAGCTGACACGTAACAACAAGTACATGCTGAGAGTGGATCTGGAGGACTTCGAAGGAAGGAAAGGTTTCGCTCTGTACTCGTCCTTCTCTGTGGATTGTGAAGCTGACGGCTATAAACTACAAGTTTCAGAATTCACTGATGGAGGAGCAGGTAGGACGCTTTCATTTATACTCAAGAAAACACATTTCCATTGGGTTATTGTCCTTAGTGAAGTTCTTCCTCTCTGCAGGCGACTCTTTATCTGGCCATAATGGATTCAAGTTCTCCACCTTCGACAAAGACCAAGATGCCTATGAAAAGAACTGTGCCAAACATTATCTCGGGGCATTTTGGTACTTAGCCTGTCACAATACAAACCCCAACGGTGTGTATTTATGGGGAGAAGATGACACCCATCATGCCATTGGTGTTGTTTGGGCAACATGGAAGAATTACGCAGTCAGTATGAAATCCATCAGCATGAAGATCAAACGTGTGTCATAGAAATATTACAGTGCTTCTGAAAGAATTTTTTTTACCTCATTTTATGACATCTTAAGGTTTTTATTCCTTTTTTTTTGCATAAAAGAATCATGTTGAAATCTGTCTTTGAAATGTATGGCTGTTTGTGTAGTGCATTAAAATATTTTGTTCAGTTATGATTCTTCACTACCTAAATATTCAATAAACTCTTATAGTGAATTCAGACTATTTATCTAAATCTAAAAATGTGAATACTACTAGGTTCCTGACTGTGCACCATGTGTATTGTCGAGTCCCCTCAGAATGCAAACACTTCCAAAAAAACAAAAAAGCATATTTACCTTTGATCATTAGATTTTTTTTGTACGTAAAATAATATCTGTACTGCAAACTTTACTGTTTTAAATCCGAAATGTTATTTTCGTGAGTCAAGCAGAACCGAAGATGATCACATTAAAGCAAACGACAATCACAAGGTTACAGCTTGAATCTGTTCTTGCTGTTTGAGTGGATAGAATGCTTAAAAAGGGTTTGGAGATTGATTTGGATTCATCAAAAAAAAAAAATTTTTTAACTCAGCTTGACCGTACTGAGACATATCCAAAATGTAAAGTGAGCAGTTCCACACCATGTAGAAAAAACAGTCGTCGTTATAAGAGACTCGACAGATGTAAAGCAATTCTTAACATGTAAGAGATGGTTTAAGGGACCTGAGTTTCTCTTCTGAGGTTGAAGAAGAGTGAGATGTTCCTCACTGCAGAACCCAAGATCCAGGGGGCGTGGTTGGAACCAGATCCAACTCCTCCCACCTTACATATACCTAAACCTACCCGTCTCCACCCCCTGATCTCTAAACCCACCCATATCCACCCCTAAACCTACCCATCTCCACCCCCTGATCCCTAAACCAACCCATATCCACCCCTAAACCCACCCATCTCCACCCCCCCGATGTGGATCCAACCATGCCCCCTGGATCTTGTGTTCTGCAGTGAGGGGCTACTGAGAAGAGTGGCCCAAGTCCAGTATGCAGTTATTAGTACACACAGAAAAAAAGGGGTTTAAAAGTGTACATTTTGGTGTACAACAGTGTGTCCCTGGAGCAGTACCCTTAAAAGGACATATTTGTGCCTTTTTTTTTTTTTATGTTCCTCACTGCAGAACCCAAGATCCAGGGGGCGTGGTTGGAACCAGATCCAACTCCTCCCACCTTACATATACATAAGCCAACCCGTCTCCATCCCTGAACCCACCCATCTCCACCCCTAAACCTACTATCTCCACCCCTGATCCCTAAACCCTCCCATCTCCACCCCTAAACGTACCATCTCCATCCCCTGATCCCTAAACCCTCCCATCTCCACCCCTAAGCCTACCATCTCC